GTTGCCGATGAGGAAGCTGTGGTGTCTCCGTCGACAGTCGATGCAGTGATCAATTGCTTGAGTAGTAGCTTTCGCCTTCCTGGGAGGGATGGAGCTAAGGATCCTGTCAAAGTAGCCGAGGGAGAGCATACCGGAGGGCTTCCCATGAATATGCTCTATCAAGAGGTGTGGTGGAAGAATCTGCACGGCCATTGCGGTGGGAGAAGTTAAGTATATGTTGCGGTACATGCATAATGAGATAAGGACATTTAAAAAATGCGGGAGGCGGAGGTGTATCGGAACGCCGTATTGTTTCTATATTTGTCAGAGAGTTGGCAGTGGAGTGGGGAGGGATTGAGGTTGCAATACAAAGAGATAGATGTGGGGAATAGGGTTGTGCGCCCAGGTTACACGAAGACGGGCAGACAAGGTGGACGGTTTCTAATTCGTTTAAAGGAGCCGAGTGGGGAGGCGGAGACATTCCTAGGCATATTCTGAGCTGATCGTGGTATATGAGGGATTGGGAGTTGACATACGAAAAGGTTATGTTTTTCGATCAAAAAAAGGAGATGGGGTTTTGGGAGGAGGAGCGTTCCTGAAGCGGATAGAAAAATGGTTTAGAGAGGTGGGGGTGTACGAGTGAGAAAGCAGACATGGTTTCTGAATTGAGGGAGTTCAAGACGGTATAGAGGAGGGATGGAGTCTAGGGGAGATGATGCGACAGGGTATGTGGAATGGGTATATTTATGCACTATCATTATGGTATGTGGCGGGTTTCTAAATGGAGTGGGGAGGAGGCGAAATTGAGGTGGGGGAGGCGGAGGGGAGGGGCGCTGAGAGAGAGTTGAGTGCGACAAAGGAAGAAGAGGATAATGAATGTCATTTGGGAGAAGTGAGTTGAGTGCTGAAAAAAGTGGCCATTAGGTCGAACTTTGTGGGGTTGGGGGTAGAGGGATGAACTCTCGGGCTATGTGTGCAGGACTAGGGTGACTGAGGAATTGAGAAGGTACAAAAGACTTTGAGGAGAGTGATTCGGGAAGACCAGTTTGCCTTTGAAGAGGAGGGATGGATAAAAAGTTATAAGGCCGAACTTAGTTCCACGCGGGATAAGACTGAGTGAATGAGGGAGGTTGGTGGAAAGACCCAGCGATAGGGAGAGTCGAGGGAGATTGTTCCAATCAATTAAGAGGGTATCTGTGAAAGAGGTTTGTCGAGACCAGGTGTGAGATATGAAGATAGGGGAGTTGTGATGATAATCGAAAGCAAAAAGGTCAATATTTTTTGTGTTCCTATTCCGTGGAAGATTGTGACATGTTCGTGATCTGCGAGACCCCAACCGGAATTGTATTCAGTTTTGATCAGGCGTATAGTCTAACCAACTAAGTTATAGGCCCATGCTTGGAAAAACTTGAACTCTCAACCCCAAAATCCGTAGTTTGGTGTTCTATCCAATTGAGCTACTGAGATACTGTCAGCTTCTTGAATGAGAGTTATGAGAATCAAGACAGGAGTTAGCTATGTGTCAAAGTTGAGAAGGATAAAGGAGATTTGTCGAAGTCATAGAGTGAAGGTGGGGTTAGGGGAGCGCATGATGAAAAGGAGGGTAACAACAACTTGACTATCCAACTGGAGTCTGGTTGATGAAGAAGGGAGGAGAGATGAACGCTTTGAAGAGAGAAATGGAAAAACTTGTAGGGTTGCAAAAATTTCCCTGTGAGTGGAGGAGGATGGGAGGAGTTGCATGGGCAGGCATGCGTTGAAGTTGAGGGGTTGAGAATTGAGAGGTCTCACGATAGATGTGATTTGAGAGGCGAAAACATTAGTGGAGATGAGAATAGAAGATCATCGAGTGACCCACACACGGTCGGGAAGGTGGGGGAGATGTCATCCCCACTAGAGACGATCCTAGATATTGTCATTCAAGATTGGTACAACAGAGTCCGTGAGGGAGATGCCATGGCCACCAGAGTCAGGAAGGTGAGGGAGATGTTGTGCCCACTAGGGACGGGAAGGTGAGGGAGATGTCGTGCCCACCAGAGAAGATCCTGGATAAGGCCATTCGGGATCTGTCGAGACGCCCCCCGAGGAGTGTGAGGTGTGTCTCCTGGTAGGAACGAATAGGACAATGTCCGCATTTTTTTGTTGAGTGCAACACGCGTGAAGTTGTAATGCCATCGTTGCACGTTTCTTGCCAAGTGCAGTGCGTGTGCAATCATAATTATATATAATATATATATATATATATATATATATATATATATATATATATATATATATATATATATATATATATATATGTTTTTTTTTTAAAGGTTGTGGGTGGTGAAAGCATGTAAGAGAGACATGTGTTCGTCGTTGTTTATCACAATTTACAATTCACATTATACAACTCTTGGGCCAAAAGGTATGGTTGTGTGGAACCCCCCTGAGGATGATCTGAGCGCAACTGATTGATACATGTGTTGGGGAATGTGTGCGTAAGCTGAAACTAGTACGCGCTATGCGCGACTATGTTTTGAAGAATTTACGAAGCATGTACCTATTTTCACTATTTACTATTCTTCTTCCTCTTCTTCTTCCTTTTCTACATTTTGATGGAATCATATAAATAGTTGTGTCGGTCAGTTGTTAGGCAACTGTGTCTCGTGCTTCTCTCAGTTCTTGTTGTTGTTATTTTTCTTTTCACGACCACAGACTCAGTAACACCATAGTCATTATATCCCTCGTTTGATAAAAACATCACGATCACTTATCCAGTTTCCGACACGTGTTCAAACCAGTGGCAAAGAAGGAAAGAATGGAAAAAAAAAAGGGGAAGAAAAAAATGACACCTTAACAACAACCCTCACCGTTATCCCAAAAGCCATGAAAACATCCTGTAGTAGCAAACCGTGTGGTGGTGAGAAGCTACAAATGCACAAAGCCCAAATATAGACAAAAATGCAGAATCACATAACGGGAGTTGGTCTACAATGTAAGGTCGGGCGCAGGCAGCGTTCCACAGCCGATCAGCAAAGAAACACACTATAAATCCTCTTTCACACACACACACACACACACACACACACACACACACACACACACACACACACACACACACACATACATACACACTCTCGATCTCTCTCTCTTTCTCTCTTTCTCTCTTTCTCACACACACACAAATGTCTTCATACACAAGAAGTAAAGTACCGTGAGTGTCGCAGTTCTCTGTGGGACTCGTCAAACAACAAAGGAAACCAAAACAAAAACAATGCATCTACCCGCAAAAGACTCCAAGATACATCTGCTACTGTGAGTTGAAACAAATGTATCTTCGAGCTCTTTTGCGGGTAGATGAATGCAGTTTCCTCTTAGTTTCGTGTGTCCCCTCTCTCTCTTTCTTTCTCTCTCTCTCTCTCTCTCTCTCTCTCTCTCTCTCTCTCTCTCTCTCTCTCTCTCTCTCTCTCTCTCTCTCTCTCTC